GCGCGTCCCCACCCCCTCACCCCAACAGTCCAGAGGCATATAATTCAGTACATAAACAATCATATGAAGACTAAATGATACAGTTATGCAATCCAATCATTCATGGTCATTCACGTTAATTTATAATGGCGTTACAATGATGGTACAATGAATATTGCAAAGGTGACAACCATTGACCGGCAGTTCTCACGCAGATGTAAACACACCCACTATGCTTCTAGGTCCTAACCCACAGTAGTAATGATACGCAAAATGCGTATACGAGACTTGTTTGCTTGTTCTGTTAATAAATATGGCTTATGGTGTAGGTAAATCATGTGTGAGTCAGCTGTAGTTTGGTCAGGGTTTAGGTGAATCAAGTGTAGTTTTAAATGCAAGGTGTAAGCGAATTAAGTATAGGTGTTATTCAGCTGCAAGTGTCAGTGAATCAGGTGAAAGGTGAGTATGCCTAGTTAAATATACCAAGACCAGGTGTAGGTGAATCTTTACGTAACTCAGGCGCAGGTGAGTCAGGTGTAAGTCACGTGGAGTAAGGTCCCTGTGTAAGGATTACACAGTCAGTAATCTCATGACTGGTCGACCCACTGAGTCAAGAGATTATATACACTACACAGATTGTTTGGCACGCTACTGGGGCCACAGCCGGGCCACAGCTGGGGCCACTCTCATCGGCGACGCACCTTAGTGAACCAGCTATAGGCTTAACACAGACCTGGTCGAGAAGACCACAGCAATAGACCTGAGATCCCTATGCGATGAACTCACCAAATGTTACTTCCTCTCTAACCACACAAGACTTGTACAAATGTCGTCACCACGCTTTTATATCTCATTCTGTTAATAGATAAGTGGTTAGATACTAATATACATACTTATAGACAATAGAACTGATAGATAATAGAACTGCTTGAAGAAACGGCTTATTTTCGATAGATTGGCTACAGAATGAGCTACTATTGGAAACATCGTTTAGCTCTCTGTAGAGCTTTATCGTGACATCTTTACACAGAGCGAAAAGTTGTATATTGTGAAACCTGTGTCTTCGTCTACATCTTGTCGACACAGCAAGTGGCTGGTAACAGATCCTTGGTTGACAAAGTTTCGCCCACTGCCTGGGCGAAACGTTAATAGGAGAGCTCTGTATAGTACATTCGTGTCCTTGATTCCGTCCTTCAAGAAGGAAAGGAGATGGGTATCGAGGAACACCTTCAATTGTTGTAGGAGTTCCTTAACTTTGTCTGGTCACTCCAAGTGTTGGAGGTCCTTCTTGACTCTCAGGGGTGCTGAAGGTGATCTGATTGTTAGATTCGGATTCTACATAGAAACTGAACTGATTCACATAGAACGAGGGTCAGAAAGCAAGAGGAGAATTGAATTCACTCGTTAGTACTATAAACAAGGATGGTTAATGAGGATTACAGCGTACGGCCTACACGAGAATCATTATGACTGCATGTAACCTGTTCATCATCAGTCAAGAATACTTAAATCCCTGAGAGATGAAAGTGACTTCTCGGCATATACAAAGCTGAAGATAACACATCTCTTGGTTTGTGCAAATAAGGTATGTGTGCACAGGCACGGCATCTGTTGAAGATGTTTCGTAGCTTGTGGTTTTTATCAGTCCTAATGATGAATTTGACATATATGCAGCATCTGGGTATTTTTATTTGTAGACGTTTCGCCATCCAGTGGCTTTGTCTATACAAATTCAAGGACGGTATGGGAAGACAAAAGAACTATATACAAAACACGAGGTAATGAGCCCCTCAGCCTTGAAGCACCGTCAAAAAAAACTGTATTTATAGCAGAGAGAGAGAGAGAGAGAGAGAGAGAGAGAGAGAGAGGTCAGGAGCAGCTTGGAAAAAACAGGTCACTTGAAACATGTGGGCAGGGCGTGAAGTTGAGAAGAGGCTGCCTAGCATGGATCGGTAGGCTCACTGTTTTGCTTCTTAATCCTTCTGTCATCTGATGACAGTGTCTCTGTTGGGCAGAATTAATTTGGCTAGAATACTCGAGACGCTGATATTCCCTTAGTTTTGTGTCATAGTGTTATAAATAAAAATCACCGAGGATTCCAGGCGCCGACATCTCATTACATCACTCTCCTTGATCGGTAATCTTGCTTCTTCCTACCTCATAATGTGGCTATGTGTTTCACAATGTTGGACACATCCTTTTTCAAATCATGATGGCTACAGGAATTTATATGTTCCCTAATACGCTGGTCAAGAGTCTTGCCTGTTTCCCATATTTACTGTATACTTCTTCGCATCCCCAGCAAGGGATTGTAAACATTCCAGTACAGATTTCTGTGAAGAGTTGACCACTTACGGTCTAACCAGATCCTTGATGTTGGCTGTGGAGTTGGTACTCTGCCTCTGAGCGCCGGAGGAATGATGCAGGACACATTACCGAGAGGGAGATCACTCATCGGTGTTGCCGTTGCTGTCTCTGATGGTGTGGAGGGCGCGTCTTCTCCACTCAGAGATGAAGTATGGTGGAACTGTAGCTTTTTAAAAGACAGAAAGTGTGAGCTGGAGATGCTATAGACCTTAGGGAAGCAACCAGTTATCGCTTCTCCTGTAAATTATAAATGTCAGTCTGTCGTCACGTGTGTGTAGGATATCCAGGAAAGGTTAGACTATTGTGCCTTTCCTTCTTTAGCGGTAATTTAATGACAGGCTCCATTTTTTTAAAAGGTAATAAGTAAGACACATGTGCAAGTTAGGTATCTTCATTTCGAAACGTTTCGCCCACAGAGTAGGCTTCTTCAGTCGAGTACAGAGGAGTCAGAAGAATCAGTGGAGATGTAAGACGATGTAACCAGTCCATCATTCTTGAAGACGCAGTTTTGAGGTGGTCAGTCCCTCAGCCTGTGTTGAGGATGCTCTGTTACAGAAGATTACCGGTTTGTGGTCAACAGAGAGCAGCCGTGTAGTGGGAGGATGTTTCAGTTAGCCGGGTACTGTGACCAGGTCGTCCAGCTGCTGGAGCACACCAAGCACGAGTCGCTTCATGTAGAGGTTAGACAACACAGTGCTTGTAGGGAGCCCGTGGCCATCCCATAACACTATATTTTTGTTGGAGGCTTGATCCTCCGTCCCTTTGAGTATCATTAAACACAAGGAGTGGTGGAGGCTTGATCCACCGTCCCTGTGCGTCAGTTAACACAAGTAATCAGGTGATGTAAACACACTTTCAGATATAAGAAGATAACTCAGTGTAGCCAAAACACTTCCCTGTATGGCATCAAAGAGCAGCCTTAAAAATTATATTTTATTATTCCTTTTTACTCTTCGCATTAGAAAGAATAAACAATAAATGATTATACGAATGGAGGTAAGAATGTCAGGAAGGAAGAGCGAGAAGGATAAACGCGGGGATTATTGTTATCGTTGCTGCTGCGATTTTCACTGCATCGCGTTTAACTAATGGTGCGACGATTTGCGGAATGAAATGTATTCTTGACATGCCACGCACTTGTTTATTAGCGGGATAGTGTTATATATCATGAAGCGGGATACCCGTGTGGGTCAGTGAGCACTTGAAGTGCTGGAGGTTCCCTGATGATCCTTCGTTAAACAGAAGAGCAGTGAGTTATTTTTTTTTTTTTGCACCTAAACAGACTACAAATTACTGGAGCCAGGATAAGATTTAATAGATTTTAACAGCTAGGCGGCTAGGTTATTGTCCACCCGACATCCATAAGGTAAATTATCAGTGGTAGAGAAAGAAAATATGTGTTGCAGGGTACTAGCAACTAGGGCCCCACAATTCCCATAAAATGCAGCGTATAAGACCATTGCTTCTGGCCGGCTACTGCATAAGCCCTCAGAGCCCTGTGGTACCAGACTTGAGGGATGTCCTGCTTAATGGTCGCAACTGAACTGTTAGAGGCAAATGGGAAGAAGGAAAATTGCTACATCATGGAAAACTACTGTAAAAGGTATAAAATACTGACACGATGGAAAAATAATGAGAATTACAGTATAATGCGATCGTTTACTGACTTCATAATACTCACTGTGAGGGCAAACGTAGTCAGTAAAGGGTCGCATTATACTGCATTCGTGTTTATTTTTTCCAAAAGCAATACTACCATGAAAACTGAGACGTGTAAAATATATTATAGGTCAGTATCTCTGATCTGCATACCCAGCAAGGTGGTAACCATGTCAGTGAAGAATTAAGTAATAAATCATACCAGAACAGTAATTTTGTACAGAATAAGCAGCAAGGAATTGTCTGTTTTTTTTTATTTAAAGCCAATCGACTACACATGGTATATTCTTTACACAGTTTTTGAAATAGGTATGGTTGGTTTACACATCTACTGAAATAGGTATGGATGGTTTACACAGCTTTTGAAATAGGTATGGTTGGGTTCTAGTCTTGGCGGCTGTGAAGCCGCCAAGACTAGAACCCAACCACAGTTACCACAATTTAGTAAGTACAGACACACACACACACACACACACACACACACACACACACACACACACACACACACACACACACACACACACACACATACATACAAATGCACGCATCGCATCGCTCTCGACCCTAATTGAAAAAAAATCAAAATATACCTGGGTTGGAAATTAGAAGCGGCAGCAAGACGGGCTGCTGCGAGTCGGACGGAACTGGACGCCTCAAGCTTCCCAGAAATATCGAACGACGTTCTTACAAGTAACTTGGCCAATTGGAATGTTTTTGATATATAGGCAAAGGCTGCATGTTGATTATTATTATTATTATTATTATTATTATTATTATTATTATTATTATTATTATTAATTTATTATTATTATCAAAACTAAGCGCTAAACTCGCAAGAGGTATACATCGCTGTGCGTGTTGGTGTGAGATGTTCACTACGAATTTCTGGGTCATTATTATATTCGCCTGTGTATGGCTGTACGACTATGTATGACTGTGTACGACTGTGTATGACTTTATGACTGTATGACTGTATACAACTGTGTATGACTGTG